TGCTGATCGTGTGTGTAGCTTATTTATTTTTTAGTAGCAGTCATAGGAATTTTATAGGTTTATTTCGACTTTTCATGCAACTCTCTTACATCTTTTTTGACCATTTTTTGAATTCTTGAGGGTACCCTTGTAGTCACAGCATTTTATTTGTGCACGTAGAACTTGTTGGTTCAGTATGTAAAGTAACCTCTGAGGTTACTGGAAAAGGCCTTCTGGAACATGTATTTGCATATTTACAGTTTGAACAGTACATAAGTCGCATATATTTGTATATTAATCAGCTAATCATTTAGTTAATTTGTTTATTTATTTAATTGTGTTAGAAAGATCATTTGTTAATTCTGTAATTTTGTGCTGCTTTCTTACATGCATCCCTCAGCTCCTTATTGTCTTCGCATGAGCCTGGAAAGGCTGGCGAAGTATTAGCCCATACAAGGAAACTTGTTGGAATGGTTGAGGGCGAAATGGTCGTGGAACCGTCCTGAGTTTTCTATTCCTTTATAAGTGTGTCAAATTTCAATTATAATTGTTGTAGTATTAGCAGCTCATCGAGAGAACAACCTTTTACTGTAAAGTCGACACTTTCGCCAGACTCACGCTCGATGGCACCGAGAAATTCAGGGTGTCCACGTTTGGAGTTGCAGTGTTACTTTATAAAAGAACAATTTTATTATTCTTCTCGACCACGTTTAAGCTACTTTTAAAGACTTGGTGCTCTAATATTCACCTAATAGCTGTAGCTCTACAAAAACTATTCCAGCCAAGAGTAATATGTGGGTTGAATTCAGTTCCTAAATTATTGATTTTGAAGGAAGCTACCACCACAAAAAATTAATAAATACCGAAATATTTTTTAAGGAAAGGCGTGAGATTCAAAAAATTTGATTTATACCTACTACTGCTGAGCGGTAGAATATCCGCATCCCATCATCGTCATAGTACTCTCGGGTCCATCTAGACCCGTCGCCACTCTCGCATTGATTTGTCAGCATTATACCCTTATATTTCTCACAGTACCGTTCATTGGCTAGGAGGGTGTATTTAGCTAAATATCTAAAAGCAGATGCTCAATGATGAACAAAGAAGAAAAAATCACTTGATTTCAAATCTTCAATTACGTCGGGAATACCCGCTCATTGGATACTTTGTATGAACCAGCCAAGTGACTCAAGTAACAAGTTACCCTGGACTAAAGCAGTTGGTAGTTGCAAAACTAGAACTTTAAGTTAAGAGCAGTAGAATTTAAACACTTCTCCAAAGGCAAATGCTCCGTAGATACCAAAATGTGGCCTCCCGAAAAAATGAACTCGAAAGTTACGTAGCTACAAAGCGCACTGAATGCTCATTACACTACACAGCGGCGTCGGAGAGCCATCCTCAAACCCCGTAAGGATTAAAATATAATTTTAGCATCACACCATTAAAAACTATCAACAAGTAAACAGGCAAGATTGACACTAATATAGAGGAGTCAGGTAGGATGGAGAATTTCGAGTATAAAAAAAATGAATTTAGGTAACGGTAAAAAAACGCGTTTCAGATTATATGAAATGACGGAAAAAATCAACACACCTTTTGCGAAAAAGTAGTTGGTGAGCAACAAAAACAAGGAAAGGATTTGGGAAGACTTGCTGAATAAACGATCAGAAATTCCTAGAGAAGAGAAATAAAAATAAAATAGTTGTAATTTCTCCTTTTTTTCTTTTTATTCTTTCCATTTTTTATTTTTATTTTTTTTTACTCTACTCATTAATTTAATTTCTGTAATAACCCTTGAACCATTTCGTTGATGGTTAATTTTCATGACGGACGCTAATGTTTTGTGTGCTGAGAGAACTGATGATCACCGGTTGCGTAACCCAGAAACTTTTCTTTTTAACATCCGACTTCTAGTGTTTTTGAGTTGGTCGCTAGAACGGAGATAAGGATGTCAGTGAAAAGAGAGAATTTGCTAAACTATGTAATCTGTTTAATCGTATGCAAAGAAGAAAAGAGGATACGGAACGGATGTTTTGCGAGTAGGGGAGATGAAATGGGGACGGGGAGGCAGAGGAGGAGAATTGGGATGACAAAGGTAATGTAAAGAATGCAGCATTACGGGTGGCGCGCTTTCAATAAGTAGGTGGTTGTAAGTATTTGAAAGGAATTTTTGAAATTGCGTAATAAAGCGATTGTTTGGTGGGCACAATGCCAAAGCACGATGCATGCAGGCAGCCGTCTAAAAGAGCAGCGAATAAACGGAATTGCGTGCGTGTTGCGTTCAGAGTTTTTTCTTTTTTTTTTTATTTATTTATTTTTTTTTATTATTATTGTTGTTATTATTGTTTTTTTTATTCTTTTTCATTTTTATTTTTATTTTTTGATTTTTTTGAGAGAAGAGCGAACAAAGCGAGTGATCGATCAGTAGTTTGTGAAAAGTGCTGTAGCAGGCGCGTTTATATCGACACGGCGGCGCAGAGGCAGCTCATTTCAATTTTCAGGGCTATCAGATGTACAACGCCCGACAACTTTAAAGCTAGAAGAACCAAAAGCCCATTTTTTTTTTCTACCCAGTTCCAAAATTTCTGGAAAACGCATAACGTCCCTTTAGCAGCGTTGGTTCTCGCTGATTTTGGCTGCATCTGGTTGATGACGGTGTTGATGATTATTGCATCTCTGGAATTCAGATTGTTACAAATTGATAGTGCAGAAGTTTACTGATGCTTTTTTTCAGGTGGTCAAACATCTGGTGGTTTTTTCTAAATAATTTTGTTTTCGTTTTTTTTATTTGTTTAAGGTTAATTATTTAGCGTCATTTTTTTTTTTTTTCAGTTATCCATGCTTTTACGCGGTCGCTACCTCTTGTTAGGGATTTAAAAGTGGAGTTCTAAAGCAATCATATTGGATGGCGCGGATATTGGCATATTTTTAGGCATAAAAATTTTCGTTATCGCAACATTTCTTCTGTTAGCTTTTTCATCTTTTTTTTTCTCCTTTTTTTACACACATTTTTCAAAATATCTTGATTTCAATCTAGCGAGAATAAATTGTAGTCTTTTATTTTTCCCTTTCAAACGTTTTCAATAGGCTTGTTATATTTGCGGGTAAATTAGAGCCTTGGATCTTGATATCGTGCATAAAGTTGTTGAATGCCATTCATTTGTTCTGTTATTCTGCTAAGTGTACATATTTTTACTCTAAACTGATTATTGAATTAATTCATGAAAAAAAAGGGAGTCGAAAAGAGGCTGACTCTATATAATATGTATTCTGTACAAAGCACCATTCTGCCCTGTTCGTAGCTGTTGGCGAAAGGGAAACTTGAAAGTACTATTATTTTTTTTAATATTTCACTGGTTATTATCGCTTGCAGAAATATTATATGTAACTATTGTGGCAGCGTTCTAGTTGTCGACTATCTTCTGTGTGTTCTGCGTGTTTCATTTAAAATTTCAAGTGTTGCTTTATTGAGAATGCCAAATAATCGTAAGCAGTTTTTATAATTTGTTTATGCCTTTTAAGTTTTACTGTAATAATATCCTCTTTTTTTCTTCTTTTCATCTTTTATACTACCTCTTTTGTAACTACAAGAGTAAGCAATGAGATTGAAAGGAGGGTTTGGTATGGCGGGGAAGCAGTTTTAGTTTTGCTGAGGAGCAGAGATGTTCGTGTATCTAGTCATTTTCGCATATAATTGGCTTGCTTTGAGTCTCTAGTTTAACGACTTCCACGAAACTATGTTAGGGTATTTCAGTTCTTTTTTTTTTTCGTTTGATATTTTCAAAGACACCAGTTCCTTTCCTACTCTCACCAAAAAAATTTTTTTACAAAAAAAATCTAGGCTGTAGCGTATATCAAGCAGTTTTAACACTATAAATTTTATGGCATTTTTTATATATACTTAATGGATGCCAGATAATATACTGTTTTAGAAAGACGAATTCTACAAAGTTGAGATCAATTTTTTGTTTTTCAAATTAGTAGCAAAATAAAAATAAGGTGCACTTAGTTTTGATTTCACTTGTATGAGAAAAACCCAGAATTTGGTAAGGTAGTGATCTTCCTTCACCTACGATTATCGTCTCAAAGTTTAGAAGCTTTCTTATTGGTGAGAAGATTTAGCTTCAAATTTAGATGCACAGTGTGGTAACCTAGTAATTATATTAGTATTTATGGAAGAATTGCTTAATCGTCTTAAAATACTGCATTATTTCCTATGTTTAGGTAGAGAAAAGATACCAGAAGGTACACTTTGTGTCGTTTGTTCGGATTTAGCATCGGGTATTCATTATTCAGTAGCTAGCTGCAATGGGTGCAAGACATTTTTCAGGCGTGCTGTAGTGGTGAGCAGTTTTTCTTCATATCTTTCTTTTTTTACAATCAACTTTTCTTCGTATATTCTGTTGACCGGAGAAGAGAAATGCCATTTCAATATCTTCTTGAACCATTTTTTGCTTATACATACCTTTTATAGTACTAGACATTTGTAGTGGGGGAAGTAAATCTTTTCGGTTATTTCGTATGTGTTGTTGTCGTCTAGACTTTGCCTTGGAGAAATAAGAAGTAGAAGGTTGCTCAATTTTTAGTGTTGCAGTCTATTTGTTGTTGATTAAAACAATCTTTCAGAACAAACAGACTTTTCAATGTCAGTTTACGAACGAATGTATTGTAGACAAATGTAAGTTTCAACTTCTGACATACCGTTGATCAAATAATAGTTTATTGCTTTATTTAGTCTGGAAATCAAGGCTTGGTGGTTGTTTTGAAAATTTTTGCTGGAGTATATTTTTGACTCACAGAAAACCAGTGGATTACATAACTTTTTAGATTATTGCGATTTTTACTCTAGTTGGTTGAGGTCTGTTATGTTACTTTTCTTTTTTGTTATTAAAAATTTTGTTTATTTTTTGGTCCAGCTAACACTTTGTTGACGGTGTTTTTATGCATTACGATTTCTTCAAAACTCTATTGCAGCTGTAAGATGTGGCTGCCGCAGTTGTCGCTTAAAAAAGTGTTTCCATATGGGCATGGATCCAAATGGTATGTTATTTGAATTTGTTTTTTACCATTATGATCGTTTTCTTACATTTTAAGGTTGTTCAGTACAGTGGCAGTTCTCTGTTATGGTCCTGTAGATTTTTCAATTTGATAATTTCAGCGATACAACATGATCGCGACAAGATCCGGTATACGAAGAGAGCAAAAAAAATCAAAGAGGAGGAGGCTATGGATGTCACAGAAATTACCAGTGGAAAATCGGTTTTTTTGAAGGAAGAAGCTGAAAGCCCTCCGAGTACACAGTACGCATTATTTTATTCTGTTTTCATTTTTTTTTTTGTATGAGAATAATTTTCAGTTTAGCAGTAGACACGATTTAAAGGAACTTCCGAACTTCCAAGGTTTTCGTTTTAGAGGGAATGATGATGTTGCCAACTTGTCGAGCCCTTCGTCTAGTGCTGGGCAAGCTCCTGCGAGTAATGACTCAGGGTCAGGAACGGGCGTTGACGAGAAAGCTACAACAAACAATGGAACATTGCAAGGTCCAGCAATTCCTGGCATTGACGTGCCAGAACCACCTCCTTCAACAGAAATTAAAAATATAAAGGTATTTGCCGGTAGTTGCGTTACATTGGTGACGACAGCTTTAATGAATTCATTAAATGACTTGATAATTATTTTGTAAATTTTGGAAATTGTATTCGAAGCCTTATATTCAAAATCAGAATAATAGACCCTTTCTGATTTCAAATTCTGCTTTTACAGCAAGACGTTCAGGAGATGCTTGGGCATTTGTTGAAGTTGGAACAAAAGGTTATGGACGTTCGTTGCGCGAATCGTTTCCCGTCACATAATACTGTGGCTTCTTGTGTTTTTGACAGGAAGCTATTAGAAGACCAAGAATGGCTGCGCAAGTATCAAACGCATGTCGTAAGTGGTAATTTATTGCTCACAGCTTTAGGATGCTTTATCCTAAGCTGTGTTTTTTCATATAACGTGTTCCTCCACTGGTTTTCATCAATTTAGAAGTCTATTTTTCGACTTCACAAAGTCTATAATTTTTTTGCTATTTCAAAAAGTTTTGGTTTCCAGTGTTTCCACTATGAACCAAAGCCGTGCGAAAGAGAGAATATGCGGTATTGGTTTTGCAAAGACCTGACGCTTTTAATCGAATGGGCGAAATGCTTACCAAACGTTGACAATTTGGGCCTTCTTTTGAATGATAAAGTGTGTAACTTGTGAAGACTATTGTTATAGAGGCTTTGTAAAGCAAGTTTTCACTTTTTTTTTTGGGTGAAGCTGGATCACTGTTGTTATTTTAGCTAGCCTTAGTCAAAGCTATGGCGCCTGTATACCCGTTGCTTCAGTTGGCGTTCTATTCTTGCACACATGACATAAGAATTAATTTTGGATCTTTTGGCCCCTCAGACAGACTTTGTGCTTTTTCAAATATTTGCGCAAATGCTAGTGAGTGACAGATGTACATTCTTCCTTTAACGGCGTTTTTTCATTTTTCTCAAAAAAGGAGATGAAGCAGCTGGAAAGGAAGCATTTTTCATTTGAAGGAATGTCCTTGGACTCAAATGGAGGTTACGGTTCAGACATGCCCGGTTTTTCACGGAATTATGATGGACCATATGTCAACCGATTGTGGTACCCGGATGGGAAATATCTGGAACGGGAAGAACAACAAACGGATCCTACTATGTATTTTTTTCACATTGCTGGATTCTTTCCATATTTTTGTTTTCGTTGTATTTATTTTATAGCTCTTCCTGAGGCTTTGAACATGAGTGATTTCTGAGGAATTCGTAATGTGCATTGTTTACAGTTCACTCTGTCTTTAGGAAGAGAACACCTCCTGTTCATACGCTTTTACTTGATAGTGTTTGCAATCAGTTTGTCAAGTATGGCATCAACGAGAAGCACATGGTTTTATATAAACAAATGTTGTATTATAATCCAGGTTCCTTCTCTTTTTCTAGTTGCATGAAGTAGTTGTCATAATTAAAGAACAGTCACCAGCTGCGAGGGGTAAGAATGATAGAGTTATTCAAAACAGATTCAGTTTACTTAAGCACATTACAAGATAATATCTAATTTTATAGACCGTCAGATTATTCATGGGGGGTCATCAACATAAGTAGAACTTTTGACATATCCGCACTTCCTGTACTGATTTTGTCTTCAGATGCTGATGGTCTTTCCAGTCGCGCGAAAGAAGTGGTTACTGCAGAGCGTATCAAAACCCTTAATCGTCTTTACTGGCTGCTCTCAAGGGACCGTAACTCAGTTCAAACTGCTGAAGCATTCTCCGCTCTACTTCTAATTGCATCTACCCTTGCTGTAAGTTAGTGTGTCACGAAGTACAAGCTTTTTTAATAGCTTCCTACGTTATTGACACTTTGAAGTTAATTTCTGGAGAAGCACTACGATTCAGTTTTTTCAGCGCATTGCTTCGTATCTGAAACGAACTTTTGACATTACTCACATATTTGGTCCTGCTAACGACCTTATTGACCAGCTTATTATTATTGGTCTCTGAATTGTCTAAAATAGTCGAAAACCCGGTGTTCAAACACGGATTGGGAGGTTTTATTTTTCCTGTTTAAGCGGGGTTCTGTCCGGTGACATAAATTAGAGAATATATTAAAATTTTTTGTATTCTCGACTCTTGTTTTGCTGTTGAAATATTTATATATTTAGTATTACATAGTATGATTTAAAATTAACGGTTATTGTGTAAGAAAGGTACGGTTTTCCTGTTCCTCTTTTTTTCATTAAGATTTAGGAGAGCTTTGCTCGTTGTTTTATTATATTTACCACTGCGGTCACTCTGTGCCGGTGTTCATTATCCTGGTGTTTTTCATTTCATATTACTTTTTTAAAGTTGTGATTAGTTTTATGATTTAGTTTTTGGGACTGGGAGTTTAACGAACTTTGCTTTTCGGAATGTAATGTTAATTTCCTCTTTAGTGTAAGAAGTTCTTTAGCATTAGGAAAAGAAGGTCGTTGGTCCGACGTTCTTGCTTTCTTGAAGTAGTGGTTGTTTAGTTAGGAACTGCAGGTTGCTGCGTCGTTCGGGTTCACCTTTGTTGTTGTTGTCCAATTATCGGAAATTTTTGTGTGAATTAATTTTTTTTTTCTGTTTAAGAGCAAAAAGCGTCTTAGTTTGTTGTTCGCAAATTTTCGCTTATTCATTTCGCAGTTCGATGCGAATTTTGCAGGTTTTTATGTTATTTTACAAAGAAGTTTCTAACTTTATTATACTTCCTTTTTTATTGTTGCAGGAAGATTTTAATTCTTATCGATTATGCGGGAGTCATTGTTTTGTTTTTAATCAATACTTTGTAAACGTTGAAATTTCTATTTGTTTCTTGTTTGATTTTTTTTTACAAATTTGATTTTAACGTACTAATATATGTTTTAATTTCGACTTTTTCTTTCGTTTTCATAATAATGTTGAAATTCCATCTTGTGCACTTTTATTTAAGGATGCGCTATAGCTTACTTTAGAAAATTTAGAGGAAGATTTGTTAACTTTATTGCTTTTAAATTTCTTCACGTGTATATAGCCGGTTTCAGAGAATTGTTTTAGTCTGTTCTGTAGATTCTCTTGATTAGTCATATGATCGGAAGGTACTTCGTATACGTGTCAGCTTTCTTGTTATTTTTTATGCATTTTCTCTAAATTACACTAATATTTTTTTTTCATTAATGAAACCTTGCTTTTTTGATTTTATTGGTTGTTTTGCACAGTTCTCATGTCTGTCGCATGAAAAGTGTTTGAAAAATGTCTTCCTCAATCGGTATAGGTGCTAAAGCTGTCGAGATTGAAGGAATTTTGGTGATGAAGGTGATGTTACAGTGGAGCTAATATGTCAGCTGCATAATGTTTTCCACGTTTTTGGTTTGACGGCAAATTTCTTTGATATTGATGTTTGTCTATTATGTTTTTACTTTTCGTAAGATCTCGGCATTACTTTTGGGGGTAAATTGTTTAGAATTAAGAGACGCTTGAATTATGCCAAACACTTTCTTTAGCTGTTATTGCCAATAAACACAATTGCCTGATGCAGAAACTGTTTGAAAATTGACACATCGTTATTTGCAATTTTCTCACTTAATTCTTACCAGAGTAATTTCAGTAATGTTCTTTCCTTCAGTTGATGCTTATGAGAATAAATAGATGGAAGAGCTTGTGTTTTCCTTTCATGTTTGTCTAATAAAACAAGGGTGATGACAACATGCTTTTTAGCAAAGTTCGGGCCTATTAGATTGTCTTCGAGTTTGTTTTTTAAGAGTTGAGTTGGCTGACTACTGTGCAGGCGAGTTCAGATGATTTCTAAGTTAATTACCGTCGTCTAGCAAATGGTCGTATGTCCTGTTGCTGCAGTGTAGGTTGAATTTAAGCATCGTCTACGTGGTGGAGGCCTTCACTGTATCTTGAGGAGGAGTGATCTACTTTCGGGAAACCACCGATCTAATCAGTAATTGTGATAGGCTTAGTTTTTGATTGCCAGAGACAGTTGGTTATGCTCCTTTACTGAAAATTACATTTGTGGTGGGTTGAGACTTATTCAGAGTTGATAAGGATGAGGGAGTAACTTGGGTTTTGGCGAAAAAGATTCATTCAAGAGGTCTGGAATTTTATTTTTCTTAGACGAGTTTTTGATATATTTGGCAGCCTGTTCCCGTCATTTAGTATAGATTGTTTTTTTCTCAAGTTGTTTAAGAGAAAAATCCTCAATGCATCAAAGTAATTTTAGGCGTTCCATTTACTCGCTTGGCGTTTGGAATTTGACGCGTTTGATGCACTGTATTACAAGGCTACCTTTAACTTTTCATACTGGTCGCTACAGTTTCAAGAAATTGAATTAATCTCTACATATTAGAGGAGGAACCTGCAGTATTAGTATTAGCGTCAAGTTGCTGGTTTATCATTGTACCTTAAGGATTAAGGATTTTGGTCGATATTTAATATTCATGTTTGAGATGTGATTTTGGTCACAGGAATTGGACTTAGTGAAATCCTTGGACCAAAACATAAATGTTTATCTTCTTGCTTAAAGTTTTAGGTCAGGCGTTTGTTGAAAGATGCAACATTGACCGGGGAAGACTGGGGAGAAAAAGCGGTTTATTTTGGTCTGTACGTACCAGCCGCCGAGTGATCGTTCAATTAAAAGCATTCACTTTTCTGCTTGGACAAGGCATCGCGCTGTTATGCCGTGAATTTTTTAGGACTGTATGAAGATAACGCTGGGCTTGGAAAGCTGTTTTTTTCTGCTCTTCAGTATTATAATAGGGATTTACTCGCTGGGTATGATGGTCAGCATTTTTCACGGTGATATAAAAGCTGCTTTTGATTTTGGGTGATGCAGTAATATCGTCTAGTTATATTTTTATATGTAGACTATCTAACTGCACATGGCTCTGCAACTTATTGTCACCGGAGTTAATAAAATCAAGCATCAAAGCATTATTGTAAGTACTAACATTTATTTTTTGTTGGATCTTTGGTTGATACGGTGGAAATTGGTGTTTAGCAGTGAGTATCATTTTTTCAAAATGTTACTGTCGAGAAGAGTGGTACAGGGTATGTTGCGCTAGTAAACAGAACAGCAACTGCTAAAGGCAGTCAAATAGATGTGGAATTTGCTGGCACTTGATGATTTCAACATTTTTAACAGTGAAGTTTTCTTTAGGAGCTGTACTGGGAATTATATGTTTAGGAATAGCCGAATACTTGACAGCATTTGTTGGAAAGTCGACTTTCTTTGAAAGTTATCAATAATTTTACGTTAGCATTCATTTTAAGTTTACGTAATAAGACTAGCTTGCGAAGAAGAAGAAATTATGTGGAAGGAAATTTGGAAAAATGCGTTTCTTGTGAATTTCTTGGGGCTGTTAGCTTTTTTTTTGCTGGGAAGTGCTTGTCGTTGTCATTTGTAAAGGTACTTGAGTTCTGATTCGATTAAAACTGTGTCCAAAATTGCCATGGTTCGCTAGTTCACCAGAAACTGAGCATCCTCAAGTTGCTATTTTTTAACTGCTTGGGCTGCGATACAGTGCAAAAAAATCGTTTGAAAACGTTGTTACAGGTGATTTCTGTAGTCCGTAATGTTCGCTGCGGAATGAAAGAAGAAAGCGCGGAAATGGGTATTAGCTGAGATTCCGGTAATCAATAATTTCAGTATCAACGGCACTGTAAACGGTAAAACCTTCAACAGATTTATAGATGGACATCTTATTGTAATTTTTTATTCAGATTTTTGAAGTTATATCATTTGACTTTCTTTGGCAGTTACAGTGACTTTTGCGGTAACATTCCAGGGGTTTTGACCAATTCCTTTTTGAGTTAGAATACATTTTGTTCAGAGTAATGTTTGGTTGACCTAAATTTTTCTTTTTTGATTCTTAGATAAGGCACTTCAGACGAATGTTCAAGTGATGAACGGAAAACCGCTGGAAAAGTGATTCATGTCAAGCAACTGACGTTCTTATAGAATTTATGGATAGAACCGTGGCTGTTACTTTGTTGGTTTTGTGTTACAGCTGAGAAACAGCAGTTAAAACCACTTGAAATGCATGATTGGTCCGAAGGTGTGGTTCTACGAGAAATCATTATCAAAAAAGCATTGGGTTGAAGAGCTTTTTGCATTCAAATTAATTTATAAGAAATTAATCAGTGGACAGACGTGGGCTCATCAAATCAAAATTTTACGGTGTTCTTTCCAGTCAAACCGAAATCTTTCAGCAGACCTCATTTGCAAAATCGTTGATTTCTCTGAATTCGTCTTCATATTAGCAAAAAGTTTTGCAGAACTTTAGTGACCGCTGAGTAGTTTGAGGTGGTGTCCCCGGAATGAGCCGTCATCGCAGAGCTAGTCGATGAAAACTGTTAAAGAATTTTTCCACCAGTTTTTCGTTAAAAATAGTTTTTGTTGCTTCATTGAAAATCAGTTTCAGTCAGCAACAAAATATTTCAGTTGCTTCAACACAAGAACCGAACTATAGCTTGTTTTAGATGTCATTCTGTTTTTATTACACTTTTTGACTATCTAGATTATTTTTGCAACAGGTGGTAAATGTTTCATTTTTTTGCTTAATTTTACAAATTTTTATGACCATTTGTAAGGAAGGAAGGGAGCGGCAAACAGGATGAAGGTATTTAGCCGAAAAATAAGTATTTTCAGCGACATTTCTCTGTTTTCCGCTTTCTGATGTCAGTTGTATTCAAGCAATGATCTCTTCTGAGACAACTCTCTTACTGGTAAAACATCATCACATAGGCTGTAAATAGTGATAGGATGAAAGTATATATACAGTATTTTTTTATGGATCAAATTCGCAAGCTTTGTGAAATGTCAGTGCAGCGGAAAAAAGAATTTGTCTGGCTTTTTAGTGAGTGTTTTTTTTTTACAGTTGGAGAATTGTTTGTTTAGCTGAAATACCACTTCATTAAAACACATTTCATATACGTATAATTCACTGTTAATTAATCTTAAAGAAAATGTATGTACATGTTTAAAATTTGTATTATTT